TATATATATATATATATATATATATATATAAATGATGGGAATTAAAATATGTATATTATAACCTTTTCTGTGTTACAATTATTTTCCCCTAGGTTTACAGTCTGTTCTTTTTTTCTTTTTTGTACCAGGGATTGAACCCATGGGCACTTTACTGCTGAGCCACATCCCCAGCCCTTTTTATTTTGAGACAAGATCTCACTAAGTTGCCTAGGACGTTGCTAAATTGCTAAGGCTGGCTTTGAATTTATAGTCCTCCTGCCTCAATCTCCCAAACTGCTGGGATTACAGGCATGCACCACCATGCCTGGCGTGATCTGTTTTTAAATTATGTTTGTAGTGAGCTATTTTCCTTCTTTTTGAACTATAAAATATTCCATACATACAAAAGAATATATGTAACACATATAAATTATGAAGTCTAGTAATAAAACACTGACAAACCCAATGTAAGAAATGGAGTACTCCCAATTCCTTTGAAGTCTCCTATATATTCATTCCCATCCCAACCTCTACTTCTCTCAAAGGGAATCAACATTTTGAATTGCTCTGTTTTTTTAGTTTGTTTTTCATCATCCCTCACTTTTCTTATATTAGTACCGGTATGTATGTATTCCTGATATGTATGTATTGGTTAATTTGCTTATTTTGTAACCTTTATAGTATCATGCAATGACAGAAAGAGACATGTATCCTTCTGTGATTTCCACATTTATATTGTTTCTGAGATTCTTTCATGTTGATTGATATATGTAGCTGCAATTTATTAAATTTCACTCTTTTAAAGTACGCAGCTCATATGAGTGAGTAAAGCAAATTTTATACATTCTTCTATAAATGGGAATTTGGGTATTTATTGTTTTTGCTATTAAGTGCAATACTGATATAATAAAATTTACCAAATACCTTCTGATATACTTGTGTCAAGAGTTTTTCAAGGGCATACACCTATATGTCTGGTTGATATACATTCTCATTAATACAAAGGTTTAATTCACATATTTAAACTAGCTATTTTCTTTTTAATGTATCAACGAAGCCCTTCCCTTCTTTTAAATCATTTAACTACTCAAATCAATTGTATATATTCCCATTTGTTTCAAAGTTTCATCATAAATACCTACATTTAACTTGAAAATTTATCTGGAACTTATTATATCACATGTAAAGCACCACATGTAATGAGGACCTGACTTGTTTTGTGGTACTGGGGATTGAATTCAGGGGTGCCCTAGCACTGAACTATGTCCCAAGCCTATTTATCTATTTATTCATATATTTATGTATTTTCCGGTACTGGGGATTGAACCCAAGGTATCTTAACACTGAACTACATCTCCAACTCTTCCTTTTGAGACAAGGTCTGGCTAAGTTGCCCATACTAGCCTTGAACTTGCAATCCTCCTGCCTCAGCTTCCTGAGTAGCTGGGATTACAGGTGTGAGCCTCCATGCCCAGCTAGGACATGACTTTATTTTTTTCCAAAACAATTAATTTCCAGGAACAATTATTAACTACCTCATTATTTCTTTATTGTTCTGAAATGACACCTTGATTGTAAGATAAATATATACATTCATTTGAATCTGCAAACGGATTTTCTATTCTGTGGCATAAATTTATCTAGTATTATATAAATTCCATGCTATTATAATTATTATGCTTTTCTAATATGATTTAATATCTGACAGTTCAAATGTTAAAAGCAGTCTTGTTTTAAAATATAGTCTCCTCATATTTTTTTTCAAAATTTTCTGTTTTATCCAGAACTATTTTTTTCCAGTCCTCCCCTACTCCATAATCCCTTTGAAATTTTAATTTTCACCTCATTATAATACAAAATTAATTTATAATTTTGTATCCCCACTTAAAGGGTATACAAAAACTAAAGCTCGTGGGAGTAAAGTAAACTTCACCCAATAAAGTTCAGGCAGTCAAAAGAGGTAGTTTTAGAACTAGAACATACATTTTCTGATTCCTAAATCAGTGTTCTTGTCATTAAAACAATTTTTCTCAAATTTTAATATACTAATTCTTATTAAGAGTTACCTGGACCTCTTTATAATGCAAATACTGATATAGTAGGTATAGAATAAAACCAAAGATTCCGCATTTCTAACCATTTCCAAATGGATGCTGATGGTACAGTCTAAGGATAAGACTCTGAGGAGCAATAGCACTTTATCTTTCAATCCATACAGATCTGTGACATTAACTACTGATAGTGAGGTCTTGGGTGTGCCTGCTTGGAAGAAACTGCCACCAAAAGAAAAGCTCTTTCTTGGCTTAGACTTCTTTGCACCCTCCAAGCCTAGCAGATGTCTTTCCTTAAGGATATCAGAGCAGTTGCTTTGTTCCTGAAGTCCACCACTGTGTAATTGGTCACAAGAGGATCCACGAAGCTGATCATATGGTGCTGGCAGATTCTCTGCTCTTGGGCAGAAACCTTGTTGGTGATGATATCTAGCCCTTCATAGACCTAAGGGAAAGAAAATTAATGTGAGAAAGTCATCTGCCTTCATAAAACGCACGTTTAATGGGTGGGAATGGTTATCTATTCCTCCCTCCAGATGAACAGCTGACTGACCCAAAGTACCAGGTCTACCCTGTATCTAAGAGCACAGTCATATCCACAAAGCCTAAGTCAATGAAAGAAGAAAACAGAGCATTAGTTTTCTTATCAAATAGTAGTTGTTAGCTCAGACTTAAAGATAAAAAGGATATGTAAATTAGTGACCAAGTAAGAACTGATTCTGCAAGATTGGAAAAAAAGGTTCTCCTTAGGTATAAGAGCGGAGATTTACTGAGAGGCTGACAGGAACCCAAGAACATAATATAAATTGTAATGTGTCTCCATAGGACTTAAGTATCCCATTTTTGAACATAAGTTTAAAAGACACTAAAATTTTCAACCATTTAAAAAAAAGAAAAAAGAGATTCTCTGCTGGGTGTGGTGGCACACGCCTGTAAGCCCAGCAACTTGGGAGGCTGAGGCAGTTGGAACATGAGTTCAAATCCAGCCTCAGCAACTTAGTGAGGCCCAAAGCAACTTAGTATGACACTATCACAAAATAAAATATAAAAGGGCTGGGAATATGACTCAAATATTAAGCACCCCTGGATTCAATCCCTGGTACAAAAAAAGAAATAGGTTTTCTAAGCCTAAACTTTATACATTTAAAAATGAGTGGGTTGCCAGGCATACTGGCTCATGGGAGGATCATCAAGTTCAAAGCTAGCCTCAGCAACTTAGCAAGGCCCTGAGCTAGGGATGTGGCTCAGGGGATAAGTGCCCCTGGGGGTTCAATCCTGGTACCAAAAGAAAAAGAAGGAGAGAAGGGAAGAAGAGGGAAGGGGAGGGAGAAAGAAGGAAGAGAGAAAGAAAGAAAACAGAATCGAGTAGGTTGTTTTATTTATTCTATTTACCACAAGCCTCCAGAAAGGTAACATTTTCATTGTTCATAATTCTAACTTCAGGATGCTCAGATATTTTTTGGATTTATTAAATGGCTCTAAAAAGTCTTTGGAATTTGTATAAGATTGGTTCCATTTTGTAGAGAAGTGGCCTATCTACAAAGATACATAATAAAATATACACATATAGGGGCTAGAGTTGTAGCTCAGCAGTAGAGTGCTTGCCTAGCATGTGTAAGGCATTGGATTCAATTCTCAGCAACACATATAAATAAGTAAATAAAAGTCGACCAACAACTAAAAAACATTTAAAATATATATATGTACATGTATATACTTTAAAGTCAGAACCCCTAAGACTACTGTACTCTTGTGGAAACATTGTGATCTATCCAAATTACTGCTTCAGGGGGTCAGTGCATACAGTCTAAATACTCAAAGGCAATATCCTGTCTGTAAGCTCTTGATCTGCCAATTCAACTAAAAAGTTCAAGTGTACTTTGTCTAAATGCAAGGTCTCTGATGGAGAACAGATCTGAAAATACTAGTTTGAAAACAGGAATGAATGCTTAGGGATTAAATGTTCTCTCTGTAATCACTGATTCTATGTGGAGCACTGAATGAACAAATAATAAGTTCCACAGAGCCCACAAAGATGTTAAAAGCATTTTTTATCTCACGTTTCCCTTTACTTACATGGGTGTCAAATAAGTGTAGTACAGTGTTATGGTTAGGAGGAAGAACCCTGGCGCCAGGCTGCCTCAGATCAATTTCTAGCTCTGCCATTTACTAGTTATTTGTTCCTGGAGTACTCAGTTACTAACATCTTTGAACCTCAATCCCTCATCAGTAAAATGGAGATAATAATATCTATATCATAGGATTGCTGTGAGGATTAAATAAATTAATTCATGTAAAATGCACTTAGTTTTTGCCTGGTACACTGTAAGTACTATGAGAGGGTCATTATATTAACTACCTGTATTACTATCACTCACTCCATTACTACTATCACAATAATAACAGGAGAAAGGGAGATACTTTTAGTGTCATTATTTAACACTATGACGCCTGTGCACTCTTAGTTACTAAGGTTACTTAACCAGCCATGATATAAGCTATCTTCAAGGTAGTAAAACTGTGAAATAGTAAAATGGCACATAGAAAAACAAACAAAAGGTCTGGGGATGTGGCTTAAGCAGTAGCGCGCTCGCCTGGCATGCGTGCGGCCCGGGTTCAATCCTCAGCACCACATACAAACAAAAAAGATGTTTTGTCTGCCGAAAACTAAAAAAATAAATATTAAAAAATTCTAAAAAGAAAAAAAAAGAAAAACAAACAAAAGGGCTGGGGTTGTGGCTCAGTGGTAGAGCACTCATCTGGCTTGTGCGAGGCCCTGGTTCGATCCTCAGCACCACATAAATAAATAAATAGATAGATAGATAAATAAAATAAAGGCATTGTGTCCAACTACATCTAAAAAAATAAATATAAAAAAGAAAAACAAACAAAAAACAACCAGTCCTAGAAGAAGTATCAGCTGACTTTTTCTCTCATTCAACCTATGCCTGATAATAGAACTGCATTCTTACATGAGAGAACTGCATTCTTACATGTGACGGACTCTTAAATCATAGGGTATTGTTTTCTGCCTATTTGAACAGGAAAGATGTCCTTCTGTCACTATAAAGTGTTGTAGGGTGTATTACACACCAGTGTCTTCCACTGTGCAAATTAAAAAAAAAACAAAGGGGGAAAAAGTTAATAATTGTGTTCTCCCTCTCTCTTCTCCCACAGTGGTTGGCTCTGCTGTGGCTCAGACTTCCACATGATACAATGTTAAAGAGCTTACACAGCAACAACTCGATTTTGCCAACAGAGGATTTCTAATGCTGGTAAGAATGTCACAGTTAAAAGGACTCTCATTTTTCATACTAAGATTAATGTTAAGGAAACATATAGTTACAAATGTTCAATTACCCATCTCTCCAAAATGGTAAACTAACTATAAACATCTCTATAGCACATTCTACCAGAGACCCAAGATAACTAGCTAAACTATCATCTTGTGATCTGCCTTTAGGTATATTTTTTAAAGGCTCTTAAAATGTTGAGTCTAGCCAGGCATAGTGGAGCATGCCTTTCATCCCAGTGATATAAGAGGCTGAGGCAGGAGGATTACAAGTTCAAGGCCAGCCTAAGCAATTTAGCAAGACACTGTCTCAGCTAGATGTGGTGGCGCGCACCTGTAATCCCACCCTGTAATCAGGAGGCAGAAGGATTGCAAGTTCAAAGCCAGCCTCAACCTAGCAAGGCCCTGAGCAACTCAGCAAGACCCTGTCTCTAAATAAAATATTAAAAGGGCAGAGGATATGCTCAGTGGTTGAGTGCCCCTGGGTTCAATCCCCAGTTCCAAAAAAAAATTTAAAAAGACCCCATCTCAAAATAAAAAACTAAAAATGCTGAAGATGTACCTCAGTGGTAAAGTACCCCTGGGTTAAATCCCCAGCAAAAACAAAAAAAGACACTGAGTTTAAACATACACACACATACTAGTAATTCTAACAGAAGGCGATCCCAGAATTAGGCTTTTTTTGTTACTAATTGAAGTGGCCTGTTACACTGTTTAGAGTACATAGAAATGCCAACAAATAACAGGGGGAAAAAAGAGAGTACTAAGGATTTAAAGAAAGAAGAGTATAAGCTCTTTTTTTTTTTTTTTTTAATTTTTGATGAAATTTTATTTTTATTCCTTTATTTATATGTGGTGCTGAGAATTGAACCCAGTGCCTCACACATATAAGTCTTCTACCACCAAGCCACAACCCCAGCCCTTACTCTTAAAAGTTAAAAATTTTAAAACTGTAACTCATATAATAAAAAAAAACTTTATTACTAAAGTAAATTGCCATCATTAAGTGATGTTTAACTCTTTGTTTCCTCAACACCAGATTAAAAGGGATAGGACATAAAGATATGCGTAATACTGACGAGATATCTGATGATGAAGAATTATTGTTACCAGGCACAGTGATGAACACCTATAATACCAGCTACTTGGGAGGCTAAGGCAGAAGGATCACAAGTTCAAGGCCAGCCTCAGCAATTTGGCCAGACCCTTTCCCAAAGTAAGAAATTAACAGGGTTAAGGGGTATAACTCAGTTAAGAGTGCTTGTCTAACATAAGCAACATAATTAAATTAAAAGGAGCTACATTAAAAGACGTAGCGCAGTAACTCCCAGTAAAATAGCATATAGGGGGAAAAAAGGAAAGAAAAAGAATTATTATTAATTTTTAGGTATAATATGGTCCTATGGTTATATATATCCTTAACTTTAAAGGACTCATGCATGATGAGTGTAGAGCTCCCCAGAACTGCAAAATGTAAATAGAGTCCTTAACTTTTAGAGGTATATAGCATATTAAAGAATATATAAAGCCAAGCTCAGTGCACATGCCTATGACACCAGCTACTCATTCAGGGACTGAGTCAGGAGAATCGCAATTTCAAGTGAGCCTACATAATTTAGCAAGATCCTGACTCAAAACAAAATTAAAAAGGCTGAGGATACACCTCAGTGGTAGAACACTTCTTTAACATGTTTGAAGCCTTGGGTCTAATCCCCAATACCACTTTTAAAAAAATGGGAATGTATAAAAATGAAAATACAGTCATGGGCTGGAGCTGTAGCTCAGTGGCAGAATACTTACCTAGCACGAGAGACACTGGGTTTGATCCTTAGCACTGCATAAAAATAAATAAATAAAATAAAAGCATGCTGTCCCTCTACAATAAAAAATAAAATAAAAATACAGTCACATACCACTTAAACTCTGAGAAATGTATTGTCAGGAGATTTCATCTTTGTGGAAACATCAGAGAATATACTTGCACAACTATGATGGCTACACTGTCACTGGGCAATATAATCTTGTGCCATTACTGTCAAAAACCTAAACATAATTATGTGACTAGGGATGTGCACTCCAAGAATGGGGAGAGGAAAGCAACTAAAACTGAATAAGATTAGCCAAATGTTCCTAATTACTGAAGCTAGGTGATG